GTGGATATATTTGGTTTCTGCTCTGAGTGAAACTTCCTGGAAGAAGCACAAGCCAAAGCAGTTTCAAAGCTTTGACACCTGGACAGGAAAACAGGAGGAAGTACAGGAGGCTGATGAGAAACGAGCATAAAAGAAGCAAACAAGAGCGAGCACACCGGCAGCGCCGAATTATTTTAATCACGCAGTCACGTGATGAATACATAATCTGTCATTTAGATTAAAAATGCTGAGAAATTCACAACTTCCGATACAGTTCAGTGAGTTTAATGATAGAAAACTGCGAAAAAGGCAACAAATATTTATATCTGAAAGCTAGAGCTAACATGTTTGCTTAAAAAAAGACTTCAAAGATAAACTGATACCAGATAATGTTCTTTTTATGAGCAGTTTTTACCCTGAAGTTTAAAGTTTTGCGGCTATTTAAAAGGCTAACAGCACATTAATCTGGCTGAATGAAAATATTTTAATGTGTTTTTTAGAAAAGAAAGAAATCTGTCTTTCATTGGATGAAGCCTTCACTGGATCTGCTTGAGAGACAGAAATTTAAACGTATAAATTATAGTGTCATGTGGGAATAAATGTGTCTCTTTAAAATTGAAAACTGGACATTCTTATCTTCAGCTCTACTCTGTAGTTCAGCTATGATTTGAGTTTAGAAAGGAAAGGCAGGGAGGAAGTCATGTAATTACCCCCACCTGGATTTTTCCAGCTGGTTCAGTGAATCACACACAGACTCATAAAAAGTTGCCCACAGCTTAAAGTAGTAAAACTTTTTGTTCTATTTGCTGTCAGAGGGTCAGGACTCTCTCAGAGGATTTTGTGTTTCACGGGTTGAAACATCAACAGACTGTCACACCAGCTCAGTCAAGTGACCCTAATCTGTGAGAGTGCGTGTGTGTCTAAGGGAAAGAGATAAGCAGGGGAAAGGTTGGTTTGTCCAAGGCAAAAACATACACTTCAGGATTTCTGAAACTGCAAACCGCATGTGAGCTGGCAGGTTTGAAGTCAATATTTGAAAACCTAAGCCTCTGTTCAGTCGTATCTATGAGAAGTTATCCAGAAACGTGGGAAAGCTCAGCAGATTTGGGTTGGATTGGGTAAGCGGGTGAATTCAGGCACAGTTAATCCATTGTGAAATGACCTCAGCCTCACTAAGTCCGCTGTAAATACACTTGTCTTCACCGATCAGGACCTTTGAGTAGCAGAGACTAAGTCAGCCCATATGCTGCTGCCCCACCCGCTGTTGTGCTGAGCTGTACGAGGGCAGAACAGGTCAAATGTACGAATAAAATTCAAGTTATATATAGAATCACATTCTTAAAATCACATGACCTGGTGGCTGTTATGCTGCTACATAGCACGCAATGTTTAAGCTGTTTTATGATATCTAAAGTAGTTCTTGTATAAGTGATTCATTCTTATTTAATTGTAGAGTTTACTAAAAATCTAGTTGATAAAACTGTGACTGTATGGCTGCATGTACAATATTTTAAAGCTTTACCTTGTGTATTATCTTCTTAATTAACTAATCAGTCAATAAAATCTCCAAAAAAGTAAAAAATATCCATAATTTCTAAGGAAAGCAAGGGTTGCATGCTTTTTTTTAAAGAAAATGTCTCCTTTATATAGCTGAAACAATTCATTGCTGAATTAATTTACTGGGACACTTCCATAAAGGAGGCAGAATAACCTTACAAATTAAATGATACTGTGGTTGCAGCTTGAAATATTAATGCAGAGTTAGAGCATGCTGTTAAAAGCTGTAATGTCTGAGTGTTTTTAGTTAATGCAAAAAGGAGAATAATGGAGTTTATTCTTCTCCTTGGACCAGCATTTATAAAGGTTTTTTTTTCTGATCAAAGAGCAAAGAGCATCCAGGACAAATCTTGAAGCATTTGTCTTTTCTCTTTCTTTTAATCCATCTGAAGAAAAACTGAAATATGTTCTGAAACCGTGGCCTAAAAATCATGTTTTGAACTGTGGTTTGGGGGGGTTTTTACAACCGTATTTCACTGGATTCATTTTGCATCCCTTGACTGATCCACTAACTGCTGCAGCTTGAGGTAAGTAGCTGTAGATTTCCAAGAAATCCTTTAAACTGTTCCAACAAAATGCAGATAAATAGAGAACCCTTACTATTACCCATGGGTAAACAGGGATGAGGACTGCTGGTTTGGGGGGTCTGGGGCGTGCGCATGTGTCACACTGCCTGGAAAAGGCAGCCATTTAAATGACCTCATCTGTGCATTCAGCGTAGACACTGAACCACTTGTTATCTTCCTCCCCCTTCACCCTCCTCCTGCCGCGTTCCTCTCCTCTGCCTCAGCAAATTTCTCCTTTCTTTTCACCCTTTTCTCTTGTTTTTTCTTTCTCCTCGATGACAAAGACTCGAGCTCAACAGGCAGCCAAGGCAGCAGCTGGCCCTGTGAGTCGGCTCCGGTCTGGCCAGCTTCATTAATCACAGCTCAGTGACTGGAGTCACTGTTTTGCCTGCAGTTACAAATCTGCAAATGTTACTGTATTCATGTGCAGAGAAAGCATGAAAGACTACTGCTAGACAGAAGTCTTATTATATTGCTGTAATTAATATGCCATGTATTACATTCTTTTGTCAGATCCTACAGCTTCATAATACTTCATTAAAAATTATCATATGTAATAGCAAAGTTATTGTTACACTGATTTATTGTTTCTGCCTAAGAGTGCTTCAATCTATTAATAAAAGGATTAGATCAGCTCTGTCAATCTTTTACCTAAAAAAATCCAAGACTCATGTAACATATGATAAAAACACAAAATATGCACATTCCCCTTTAGATGAAAGTAGGTTACAAAGAGGTTAGCTAAAGTATAAAAGAATACTGTAACTTTTAAATGGTCAGGGGGAGGGGGAGTGGGGGAAAACAATGGAACTCTCAATTGTTCTGGGTCCAGTTAAAGGTTTGTACATTTAAAAAAATAAAAAACAAAAATCCTCTTAGTAAATTACAGGAATTAATCAGTTTATTTCCATGTAATTTCGTGATTTAATACAGAGTAAGTATGTATTGAAACTGTACAAAAAGAGCAGCAATTTAAATGATTTAAAAATGAAAAACTTTGAACAAAAACTTTATTAAACTGGTAAATAAATAAATAACGACAAAAAAGAAGAGAAAAGGTGGGGTTTTTTTTTTCATCACTAGCTTTTCTTACCTTAGCACCAATCTGGTTCCCGCACTGGCCGGCCTGGATGTGCACGATTTCCCTCATGATGGATGGACAGTTGGTGATGGAGCAGAGAGCGCTGGAAGTAAGTGAAGGCTGCTGACCTACTGACTGTGCAGTTTGTGGCAGCGCTGAGTCCAGCTGGCTTCGGGGGGTGGGGCATAGCTTAGTCCAGGCTAATGATTGGTTATTCTGTCTGCGGCTTTGGAGCTGATTGGCTGAAGGTTGAGCTTTTTTTTCCCCAAAGGGGTTTCCTTCCCTCTGAGGCAAGGACCGGAAGAGGAGAAGGAGTGCCGGGTGTTGTCATCACTGCCTCGTTGGAACTCCAAACAAAAGCTGGAAAGTAACGAAGTAGTGGGTTTCAGATGCTTTACTCGAGTATTTCCTTTTTCTGCTCCTCTACGTTTTCAGAAGAAAATATTTCATCAGAACATTAATGTGAATTTTAAAGCCTGTATATGAAGAGTAAAAAGTTACACCTTCTACACCATAATCAGCAGCATCCATCATCCAGTTAGAATAAAGGAGATAATGGACCCAGGCGTTAGCGTCACATTAAATGTAAGGTCCTGACGTTTTTAATAGTATGAACACAAATATATACACTCACCAGCCACTTTGATAGGTACACCTGTTCAACTGAGAAATTCAAAATATCTAATTAGTCAACCACAACAGCAACTGAGTGCGTTTAGGTATATAAACATGATCAAGACAATCTGCTGATGTTCCAGTGAGCAGCAGCTCTCTAGGGGAGAGTGTCTTGATTTCAAAGATCAGAGGCCAGACTGCTTCAAGCTGGGCAGGCAATGGTAGCTTAAATAATCAGGGTATGCAGAAGAGCATCTCTGAATGTAACAGCTCATCAAACTGAAGCAGAAGATCACACTGGGTGCCATCTGTCATCTAAGAACAGGAAACCGAGGATAAAATTTGCACAGGCTCACCAAATTTGGACATTAAAAGATTGGGAAACTGTTGTCTGGTCTGATGAGTGTTGATTTCTGCTGTGGCATTCAGGTGGAATTTGAGAACATGACAATGAATTCACTGTACTCAAATCTCCTCTACAGTCACTGGATCGGAATCCAATAGAGCATCACGTTTGATAATATATATTTTATTATGATATATAGATATAGTTGTTAGAATAATTCAGTAGTCTGTGTTTTGAAAGGAAGATTTAATGTTAGAGTGTTATACTTTTCCAGCAATGATTGAGGAGTCACATATATGCTGCTACTGTTAGATAATATTTTAAACTATATTTCTTTGACAGTGCAATTTTCTTAAATGTACTTTTGAATAATTTGGAGTCATATGCATAAGCGACATTATACCAAAGCTAGTTGGTGTAAAAACATTTTAGTTAACTAAAATAAAAAACAAACAAGAAAACTTAAAGAACTGCCTACAAGAAAATAAAAGCATACAAGAAAATGACTTTAGCTTTTTGTCATTTGAAGAGGCATTTTAAAATATTTTTAATTAATAATAATTTAAAAAATAATTAATAATAATAATAATAATAATAATAATACATTCCCATCTCGCACCTTTTAGCTAGATTGAAACAAGCAAATCCACCATGGAAATGAATTAAAATCAGAAGTGAGAGATATACAAGATAATAATAGTGTTTAATAATAAAATTCAAAGTTGTAGAAAATTGAACTATTAACTGTACTTTAATAAATGTATTTAGTTGCTTTCCACCTGAAAAATGACGTTTCCCCACCTCGCCACTAGATGGCGGAAGCACAAAGTTTGCTGAATGGGCGTGCTCTATTGGAGCCACTGAGCTGCAGCCTTATTATTCACTAACCGCATCATTTCGTATCCAACGAGAGAAAACGTCACCTGGGATGAAAACTCATTAATCTGAGTGGCCAATTATTCATCGCTTTTCACTCTACTCCACCTAAACCACGTCGTTTGTACACTAATCGGTGAGTGTGTCGTCATATTTTCTCTGTATCCACATTCATCGAGTGTAAACACAGATGTAGCTGAAATTGTTTGAGTTAAGCTAACAGATAAACAGCCTGCACTTCATATTTGTTTTGCTGCACATATTTTAAAATCTTGATCTCTCTGTTGATCTTGTTTGTGAGCTTCGGGGTTTTGCGTTTGTTGCAGCTTTTCTTGGGCTTTTTACTGCGCAATGTTTGCGCTAATTAGATTTTTTTCCGCTGGTCTGCTGCTCCTCTGTCTGGCCACCACCATCACATCCACTCCTTTTCTTCTGGGAGTGAGCTGATCATTGTGATTTCTGATGCTTGCATATTTAGCCTCTGAAAAGAAACTAATAAAATATTTAAAGTGTTTTTAAAATTATATTTCGTATAATAACTCTTCACGATTCCGGCCTTATGCGTTTGTTGATGGATTTTCTAAACAAGTCCTTTATAAAAGTGTTTTTGTTAAATAATTCTTTCATTTTTGTTGTTTTTTTTTAGTCTGAAGGAGGATCAGCAAACATGTTCTACACCTGTGGTCCCAACGAGGCTATGGTGGTATCAGGTAAAATGATGCCTTGTACTGCTTTGTTGAAATCTAAACAACTTAAGAAACTATAACATCAAACTAATACATAACTGTTGCCTTTCATTAATTAACGCACATGTGATGGCTGTCACATCAAGGCAAACAAAATGTTCCAAAACCTTTAGCTGGTGCCCTAGACTTCTCCAAAGGAGAGAAAATTTTTTTTAATGGGTCTGTAGTTCTGAACACAAACATAAACCAGAACTTGATTTGTGATGGAAGTTTGTTGAATTTGTTTTTATCATGAAGTAGTAAATGTTTAAACTCTCCCTGTGATGCTCAGCGCGGTCTCTGATCTCTCCCAGGTTTCTGCCGTTCTCCACCTCTCATGATAGCCGGAGGCCGAGTGTTCATCATCCCCTGCGTTCAGCAGATACAGAGGTAAACAAACCGCAAAGTTTATTTATGTTCTCCTGTATCCCATTAGTTTACTTCCTGATGTTTCTGCAAACACTGTTGACATTTGGCCGATATATTTTATATTTTAAGTGACAAATTGAATAACATGATGAGAAGGCAAACAGCACTTCAGCAGCAAAAATGGATAAAAAGGGGGAAAAAAGATTAACAAATTCATTTTAAATTAATTTTATAGTAATGAAGGATTTCTTTTGGGGACACATTTAAAGCACAGGGCATATACATCTGTGTCATTAGTAATAAATGTGTGTAAAGCATCCAGCTGCTGTTCATAAACTGTTACTTTTTAAGTCCTTTCTCTCCATCTTCCTGTTGAATTTAAGACATTAGCTTCCACACAGGCCACATTTGGGTCTAGTACCAACATTAAAGAAAAAAAAATCCCTTTTACTATATACACCAGCGGTCCCCAACCCCCGAGCCTCAGACCGGTACCGGTCCGTGAGTTGTTTGGTACCGGGCCGCGAGAGTTGAGGCTCAGGTGTGAAATGTCTGGTTTTCAGGGTTTTTATCAGTTTTCAGCGTTATTTTGTTATCGTTTTGATCGTTAACTCTGTTTTCCTGGGTCTTTTTACGTGTGTTATGAATAAATCTTCTTTTTTTCGATACCGGTACTAGTTTTATTTTGTTGTATTTATCCGCGACACATTAAAGGCCAGTCCGTGAAAAATATTGTCGGGCATAAACCGATCTGTGGCGCAAAAAAGGTTGGGGACCGCTGATATACACTCTGTGTTTGCAACTCAGTGTAACAAAAGCAAGGAGGAAATTGCTACACCTAATGTACCATTAGAGTAATGAAAATGAATCAATAATCATATTTCCCATTATATCTCTCACGTGGCCTCTCTCCAGGATTTCCCTGAACACTCTGACTCTGAATGTGAAGAGCGATAAAGTCTACACACGCCACGGAGTGCCCATCTCTGTCACCGGGATCGCCCAGGTCAGTGTGCACCACTGCAGATGAATCAGGTGCTGCTGCTGGCAAAACAGGGGAGGCCTTTCTCAGAAGGACAGGTGTAAACTAGAAGATTAACATGTAGCAGATAAGATTAATTTTGTGTGGTGTATAAAGTTACTCGTAGCAACCAGAATGTTTTTTCCTACTTGTTTTTTGTTTACAGTAAACTTTGTTGCTGCTTCATTGTTTATTTATTTTTGCATGTTATTGTATCTGTTGATTAATTAAAGCAGGCCAATGTAAATATTAGGGTCAGGTACACTGACAGTGCCATGTAGTTGCACGTGAAACCCAGCTCCCGATTTGCTATTTTTCACTGTGCATCGAGGAAATGAACCCAATGTTTATGTCAGTGTTTGTCTAAATAATAAACAAGCAGCTGTTTCCTACAGATGAAGATCCAGGGTCAGAATAAACAGATGTTAGCTGCAGCCTGCCAGATGTTCATGGGAAAGTCAGAGGCTGAAATTGCTCAGATCGCCTTGGAGACGCTTGAAGGTCATCAGCGAGCCATCATCGCCCATCTGACTGTTGAGGTAAGGAGTTAAAGTAAATAAATGGAGTTTACCATCCAACTGAATTATAGAACAGGTATTATTAGAATACACCTTCAGTATTCACAACCTCAGTGTGATGAGTACATTTCAAAAAGCGAACTTCTGCATCACAGTGAAGGTGTTTGTGTTACAGGAGATCTACAAGGACCGTAAGAAGTTCTCAGAGCAGGTTTTTAAGGTGGCTTCCTCTGACCTGGTCAACATGGGCATCAGCGTGGTCAGCTACACCCTCAAAGATGTTCATGATGACCAGGTATCTCTTTGCGCTATAAGAATCATATCATAGATGATCTCAGTACATTTTTGCAGATTCTCGGAATTAAAAATTGAACCAGTAAACGCACATCAGATCTTTTTTCTCCTGCTGGCACACAGGATTACCTGCATTCTCTGGGGAAAGGCCGAACAGCGCAGGTTCAGAAAGATGCTCGCATTGGAGAGGCCGAAAACAAGAGAGATGCTGTGATTAGGGTGAGATCTGTCACTTTGTCGCTGTTTTTATTTTTTTTAATACTGTATTACTATAAAGCTATTTTTTTTACACAGATCTCTCTTTGCAACAGGTGTCAATGGGGCTTGCTGATGTAGTTTGAAGATCTTTCTTTATTTTTAGAAACACTTGGATAAATACTTATCTTGCTAATAATAGAAGCTGCATTTAAATCATCTAGAAGGTTGTTTACAGAGCACTTCACTGTGTGTCTTCGCCTCGTCACTGGTGCCATTTGTCTAAACTCTGTCTGTATTTTTAGCATCTTCATCCTGTTTATTTTAGACATCTGTTCCCATTGATCCTGATCACCTCCATCCTTTCTCCATCCCTCTTTGACACTCTCTCTGCAGGAAGCTCATGCCATGCAGGAGAAAATATCGGCTCAGTACAAGAATGAGATTGACATGGCGAAGGCTCAAAGGGACTATGAGCTGAAGAAGGCAGCCTATGACATTGAAGTCAACACTAAGAGGGCTGAATCAGAGATGGCCTACCAGCTGCAGGTACACAGGCGTGCACAGGAAGCAGCTCATTTTGCTATTTGATCTCTAAGCTGAATATATATTTTAAATACAGTGCACAGCATTTCTTTAATTATAATTGCAGGCCAAACGTTTTAAACTTATTACAAATCAACAACATTTTTACAATTCATGATATTAAATGAAGAATATTATGTGTACAGACATACATGTATGATCTGTTTTCCTCTGGCAGGTAGCGAAGACGAAGCAGTGTATTGAGAGTGAGAAGATGCAGGTGCAGGTGGTTGAGCGGGCGCAGCAGATCATGCTGCAGGAGCAGGAGATCACCCGCAAGGAGAAAGAGCTGGAGGCCAAGGTGAAGAAACCTGCAGAGGCTGAGCGATACCGGCTGGAGAAGCTGGCTGAGGCTGAGCGGTGAGTTATGGGTTCATTTTCACCTCCTGAACTGCAGGAACGACAGTAAGCAGATAGTCTGTTAGGTTTTTCTGGTATGTTTTCTCTGTTTATATGTCTGAAGAAGGAACATGGAAAATCCCTCGTGTGTGTGTGTGTGTGTGTGTGTGTGTGTGTGTGTGTGTGTGTGTGTGTGTGTGTGTGTGTGTGTGTGTGTGTGTGTGTGTGTGTGTGTTTGTTTTGTTTTTTTTGTAATTCGGCAAGTTTTCATCCGTCCACTTAAATCCTTCTTTTTATGTTAGAATAACAATTGAGCTATCATTTTATATTTTAAGAGCATGGCTGACATGTTTGTACTGGTCAAATCATTTATCTCTCTGCTAACCAGCTGACTGTGATTCTTTTGTCTGTCCAGTCTTAAGTTGATCATGGAGGCAGAGGCTGAAGCTGAGTCCATAAGAGTGAGTCAAAGCTGTTTCTGGGGAAAAAACAAAAGCATTTTCCACAAATGTCATCTTGAATTATCTGGGCAGCCTTTCCTATCCCTCTCCAAACCGATTAATTATCTAGCTCAGTATGGCTCTTTATCTGACTACCAACTTAATGTATCAAGGATACAATTCCTTGCTTTTAAATACAAGATATTATCTAAAAATCTAATCTTCAGAGTATTCAGTAAATTATTTGGGTGTACATATACAAAAAAATCTGTCACACTCGTGCAGTATTAATTTGGGGTCTCTGAACTCCAAATTAGAAGAGGATATAAGGAGATAGAAGGCAAAGAGCTAAATCAGTCATGATGATTTATGTTAATAAGAGTATTAATATGCAGCCCAGGTGAGACCTCTTATATGATGCCTATAATTCTGAATCTAGCAATAAAAAAACGGAAATGAATGGAATATGGATGAGGGAAAAATCCATAAGATATTAGAGGAGGCATTTCAAACTACCATCGCTTTGTATGAGGTAACATTTGTAAATGTCTTTTGTAATTCACTTTAATTTATGTACCATTAAGGTACAAGGTGAGATTCAGTGTTTTCTGGTACAGTAAGTCCGTCCTCATTTCTTCTTCAGGTTAAAGGTGAGGCTGAAGCATTTGCAGTGGAGGCCAAGGGGCGTGCTGAGGCTGAGCAGATGGTGAAGAAGGCCGAGGCCTTCAACGAGTACAAGGAGGGCGCCATGGTGGACATGCTGCTGGAGAAACTGCCTTTGGTGAGCGATAACATCATCATAACAAGCATTTCTAGCTCCTGCTCTTATTTTTAGAATTGTGCTGATAAAAAAAACAGAATTTGAAGCCTGTTAGTCATGAGTGTTGTGTGTGCATTTACTTCTGGATTACATTATTACATTCACCTGTTACAATTTTAACAGCTGTAATGTCATTTGTCCACCAGATGGCAGAAGAGATCAGCAGGCCTCTGTGTGAAGCCAAAAAAGTTACCATGGTATCCAGCGGAGGTGGAGATGTGGGCGTGGCCAAACTCTCAGGAGAGGTGCTGGACATCATGACCCAGCTGCCTGAGGCGCTGGAGAAAATGACTGGCGTGAACATCTCCCAGGTAACTCGGTTTATGTTACACTTACCTGCACTCATGCATCTATAGCTTATAGCTGCTACCAATCAAATTTAATTATTAATAATTAAATTCAGCATTAAATATAACAAAACTTTAAAACATCCACCTTTCTCTAAGTAAGTAAAGTTTATTTATATAGCACCTTTCACAGACATATGTCACAAAGTGCTTTACAAGGTAAAAGCATAATAAGCTTTTTGAAATAAAAATGTCTTTAGCTGCTTTTTGAAGGTCTCCACTGAGTCCAAACCCCGTAGAAATAGGGGATGAGTGGTGGTATGTGTATGAATCAATCAGCAATGTAGGGGGGAGGGGGGTGTCTCTGTAATGCTCTAAAAGTTAAAACTAGAATTTTAAAATAGAACCTGAATGTGATTGTTGGCCAGTGCAGCGACTTTAAAACAGGGGTCATATGAGAACCCTTGTTCGAGCAGGTCAGTAGCCTCGCTGCAGAGTTTTGAACAACCTGTAGGCGGGCTAGCCCTTTCATGTTTAGACAAGTGAACAGGCTGTTACAGTAGTCAAGTCTTGTAGAGATAAAAGCATGCATTATCATCTCGAGTTCACTTGTTGACACGATGGATCTAAGTTTAGAAATGTTCCTCAAGCGAAAAAAGCAGCTTCTTATGATCTGATATAAATGTCCCTCCAAAGAAAAAGCTTCATCAAAAATAACACCCAGGTTTCTAAGTCACCCATTCGCCGTTTAATATCGGGTATTGCACTGCCTGGTGCAATAATGAAAGTTTCTGTTTTGGCCGGGTTTAGCTGTAAGCAATTATTGTTCAACCGTTGTTTAATGTTGGTTAAACAGTCAATCAGATTGGAGAGCTTATGAGCTTCAGCAGGCTTAAAAGAATAATATAGTTGAATATCATCAGCAAAACGATGATAAGATACTTCAGGAAACTGCTGTATTATCTGGCTTAAAGGAAGAATGTATATTAAAAACAGAATAGGTCCCAGCACAGAGCCCTGAGGAACTCCACACAACAACTCTGTAGATTCTGGTTTGCAGACACACTAAAGTGTCTTTCAGATATATAAGATAAAAAAAATAGTCTAGAACAGAGCCAGACATCCCAACCAGGTCTCTCAGTCTGTTTATCAGGATGGTATGGTTGACTGTATCGAAGGCTGAGGTAAGGTCTAACAAGACTAGGACTGTGTATTCTCTGGAGTCTGCTGACATCATAATATCATATCTCTCCTTTCTGTAGATGGCCTCTCATACAGGCTGAAGAGACTCAGCCATGTGATGACCAGGCAGTCCTTCCTCCCAGTGTCCAATCAGCTGTCTGGATTCCCTGCATGATTCTCTCATCACGGCGTCATTCTGCTGTGTGGCTGGTTCAGCTGGTTTGTGATGTTTCTCTGTTGTGAAAATAGTCTGATTACAGTTACGAATGTTATTTCATGTTATGACTTTGTGCTTAGCGGTACTGCGTTCGTTTAGCCTCCATCCATCCTTGTATTACCTTCTGCTTATGCAGTTCAGGGTCACAGGTAACAAGAAGCAGAGGATAATATAATCATATTTCATGTATTCTATGATGGTTTGATGAGCTTTCTTACTTTTTGAGTTTTACATGACTGATCTTTGTCTTTGTCCCTTTCTGTGTTTATATGTCACACTTTTGTCTGTGTTCCTGTTTACCATTAATAATTCCTTCACAACGTGTGTGTGTGTGTGTGTGTGTGTGTGTGTGTGTGTGTGTGTGTGTGTGTGTGTGTGTGTGTGTGTGTGTGTGTGTGTGTGTGTGTGTGTGTGTGTGTGTGTGTGTGTGTGTGTGTGTGTCCGCACTGCCTTGCTGCCAAACCTTAAGTGCTTCTTAGCATGAGCATGTGCTAAAACATGCAACCAAAACCTTCATTTACTAATCCTACTAATATTGCATATTATCATATATTCACTGACATGCATTTTAACCCATCAGTCTTTTCTCTACATGTATTTCTGAAATAAATTTGGTGTATAAAGGTTCAGGGTGAATATTTCTGATATTATCTGTAAACTTCAGCGTTAATATGTATAGGGTTTTTAAAAGGTGTGGTCTTTCTTTTTCTTACTGTTTTATATTTTATGATCCTTGGTACTTAATAAGTTAATTAAGTTAATTATTCTGTATTTCTTTATTTGTAAACTGATGCGCCGGTGAATCTTCTTTTTTTCCTGTTGAGCCTCGGCTTGGAGATATTAGCTTTAGATCAGCTACAGGAAACAAAATGGGATTCTGTTTTTCCCAACCAGGAGCTTCAACTGCCTTAAGTCTGTACCACCCTGCAGTCCACTAATACATGATGTGTATTACAAATCTTAAGTAAAGTGGTTCCTAGTGATAGCAGTTATGTAGCAGCTCTCATAAAGGTGTAGCCAGTCAGACTAAATTTAAATGTGTGAAATACAGCTTTGCTTTTCATAGTAGCAATGAGAATATCCCTGTGTATTCATAACATTAAGTATTTGTTAGTATATAACGCTTTGGCGTAATGTGAAGCTAAATATTTCAATTGTTAAGTGAGGGCAGGGGTGTTTGCTGTTCTGTTCTTTATTTTTTCTTTACGTTTGCTTGCTGTAGTTTGTGCTTTATATTCCACTGAAGGTGTAATACTAGCTCTAAAGTATTACGGTAGTAACTGTAAAGTATCCTGATTTGCCTTTTGTCACCACCCAATCAAACTGTATCCCTCTACCTCACCATTACCCTCTGGGGCTAGTTAGGAAAATATCTTTATGGACATGTTTTAATACATCAGAAGGGATTTAAACACTGAAGATGGATATATGGTTTTGTTTTAACTGAGCAGTTTTGTCTTCAGTTCTAAACACTGTTTGTGACTTCTCTGCACTCCTGATTACAGCACAACCATACGTGCTGTAAGTGTCCTGAGGGTACATTTTATTTCTTTCATATATGAGTACTACTGTTATTATGCATGCATCAACACCTGTCACTCTTACACTGTAAAGTAATATTGCAAATGCATATGTTTGAAGTCAGGACACAGTAGGCGTGTGCAGCTTCACTGTGGAGTTACCAAAGTAGGAGATTACCCAGCTATAGAAATGGAAGTGTGCTTTCGTTACTGGATCAGCACTAAATATGGATATATATGTATGTGTATGTGTTTATACAATTTATATTTGATACAGTATCAGTGTAAAGCACTGTTTGCATCACCACTAACAGCTTGACTAATTCATTATAAATGTATTTTATCCAGTTTATTAGTTTTCTGTGATGTTTCAGACCCTGTTGTGTTGCATTCGTGATGTTTGACCAAAGTGGATGTTTGCTTTTTATTTTTCTTCCGTGTACTTTAGGAAAACGTCGTTCTACTCTTCTATACACAAAATCCTTGTCATTTAAATGCAAAAGGGGAAACGACTTAAATCTTTACTGTTTGTGAAAAAAGATTTATTGTAGCTATCAAATGTTCCACTGCTGTCTTTCTTTACTCACCTGTTTACACATCTGATTTTAGCTTCTTTTTTTTCAGTTTTTATTTTTTTTTTCCATCTGTGAGGTCTTGAATTGTCACTGCATAATAAACAATTTTCACATGCATAAGGGGATCCCAATAAACGTTTTCATCATCATTTTATTGTCATTGATCTTTCAATAAAATGCTCATGGTACATGGTGCTTTTCCCAAGAATGAATTGCTGATGTTGCACCAGGAATTAAACTTGCAACAAACATTAGAGTTCTTTCCTTGCATTATAAATGCTGACAAAAGTAGCTTAGGTCCATCTTATATGATGGACATAGTTCAAGCTAAATGGGCGATAATAATTATAGTGACGTGGATATTATAAGTACAAGCATTCATTACCTTTTAATAGCCTCACATGTCCGCATAACCTGAGAGCTGTTGTACAAAATGAGAAAACCATTCAGCTAATTCAGAAATGAAATATACATAGAAACTGATACGACGTCCTCACTGACTGGATAATTAATACACCGGAAGATACTGCATAGACGCTGGCAGGTGTGTCAAGTTAGCTGGTAAAACGCCAAACCAGTACAGGAAGTCTAATTCAAAACTCTCAGCGGAGCAAACATATGGGTAAATGGCTGTTAGTTATTGCACAATTATTAGTTTGTTTTTCTTGTTTTATATTATTTGACTTGTGTATAGAAGGTTTTCCTACCGGAACCCCTTTTTTTCTTTTTTAGATTATATGGCGTTTGTTTTCAGGTCGCTTAAGTTTCACTGAGTTTTCAGAGCGGATTTCGGTCGATTAGATTTAAATTGTATTTGTTTTTTGTAAGTTTGGTTTTACTTCGGTTTTATTAGTTTTCGGCATTATTTGTGGTTTAGTATTAATTATTATTATGAAAAATACATAAGATAAGTTTCTGAATAAATATTCTTATACAAAACAGCTATTTTTGAAGACAATTGACTCTAAGTCATGTAGCACCAAAACCTCATTAGGCTGTTTTTGATAAAATTTTAAATATACTTTTTTGCTGGTTTTGTGATTAAACACTATTGCTTTAAATTCGTTTTTTTAATTAAAAAAATAATTAATAATCATTTTATTTCGGTGCATAAAATGTCATATTTTACACCTACTTTTAGTTTAGTTTTAGTTAATTGTGTTAACATCGATTATTACGCTTTTAATCAAACGCAATACACAAAGAAATATACTTTAAAAGAATCGCGCTTTGATTTTATTTTGAAGAGTGTGGCCGGAAGCTGTTTAACTCAGCCTGCCTTGACTCCTCGGAGAAGAGCTGGAGGGAAAAAAAGGAAAAAACGAAGAAAAAAAAGGCATATCTGAGGGGTTTGAGGGGCGGATTTGGACAAAGTTTTCCAACTGTCCCGACCCGAGGAAGCTCCGGGGGGGTTGAAGGGGAGTCGAGTTCACCGGTAATTAACGCAGGACTTATTAGTCGGTTGTTAATTAAGTGTTTTTTTCAGTGTGTCTGAGAGCACCGTCGTCCCAACCGCCGGAAGTCTGCATGAAGCTGCGTCTCCTACAGAGGCAACGGCGTCGACGTTTTTTTTTCCTGTCTTCGTTTTTTTTTTTTTTTTTCGAGACTTTTTTTTCTCTTTTTTTATTTTCTCTCAGCGAGATGAGCAGGGAGTGAGGAATGGAGGCGTAGGGAGAGCACGGATGTTTGTGTTTACTAAGCGGCGGGCTAGTTAAGCATATTGAATATACAGGCCTCCTTGTAGCTAGAGCAAGCCAGCGAACAAAAGGAGAAAATTAATGGAGGCAAGTTAGCTAGCTCCTCTCGTCTTGTTGCGTTTTTCAGCTAACGTTAGCCATGTTTGTGCATAACCCAGATATGTTATTACGCTCTTGTCAGCCGGTTGGGTGCAGTTTAACACATCTGTCCAGACTCAGTTCCAAAAAAGCACCCTGACTTAAACGATTTGTGGCAAATTTGTTTTTGCAATAATTCATAAAGCACAGCTAACGTTAGCTCGGCGCTAGCCATGCCACAGTTTTTGGAGGCAGCTTGCACCCTCTCGTCCAAAAGAAAAAGAGAGGGGGGGAAGAAACAAATGTCTCTCAGAACACTGAAACATTGACTTTGTACTGCACTAATAACGGCCCCTTGCATCTGATGCTTTGCTGCAGAATCAGGGAAAATGATTAAATTGCATTGAAAGCATTTCTTTTCATTTATTTATAGACCTTGCAGTTGCAGAGGGGAGAGGAGGCTCATGAAAAACAATGCAAAACATTTCATGAGTTATGCATTGCAAATGTTTTGCATGAAATATGGCGTTACCTCAATTGTTATTGTGATTTTTTTTTATGGGCCTCGCATACTCCTTTGCGGGGCTTACTGAATATCAGTTGTTATAAATTATTAAATGGCAGTTGGGCTTTACTAACATGTAATTACTTGCATGCTTTTAATGGTATGTGAGCAGGATTATGCATGGCATTCACGGTCTCAAAATGTTTCAGAAAGCTAAAATAAAGTGCAAATGCATGCCAACATAGAACAATGAAACTTCCTTCTTTGCCTCTGTTAGTGGGACATAATCAGGAAACGGAAGATTACAGGTTGATTACTCATGAGATTGACAGTGGGTTTTTATTTTGGGTTTTTTTCAACTGTCAAGAAGCTGTGTGCACTCTTGAAGAGGGTGTTACTTTCACCTAATGGTGCACCCACATCCAATTTTGTTGCAAAACTAGCCTCACTGACATGCTGCTGATAAAACACGCACTCTAAGATTGTGCAATTTGTTCATGCTGTGTTAGGGAGTAGTAAACAAGTGCATGTGCTGTGTTACAGACAATCATTAAATTCTCAAAAACTGATTATCATTAGTGTTTTCTTAATTCTTGCTTCTGCTGCCCTCTACACCAGTGGTTCTCAAACTTTATGTGGTCAAAGAAAAGTAAAAAGCAAGACAAATTCAAGACCTGTATTTATGTTTGCAGAAAACAGGTTATCTGGAAGGAGGTCAGTGACAATTGTGCTTTTGAGCATGTGTATGTTGCTTTGCAGCAAGCATGTAACAGCGATCCATAGCCTTACCAGGCACTTCCATACATTCAAACAAATGTTCCCACTGGATATGGTTGAGATCCCAAGCTCTTTAACAGGGGGCGGTGTTTCTTCAGGAAGGGAATTTTTAGTTTGCAGGTACAGTTTTAGCATTTTTTTTATCTCCTCGCATCAAATTGCAGACAGTTTTTTAAGTAATTTCTAATAACAGTTTTTGTTTCTTTAGGTAGTTTGTTTGACTTATTCCACACAGTAAAGAGATCAGTGTTATCTCCTCTTAAATGTTATCGTCTTGCCTGTCAGTTCTTTTTTGTAAAACCAAGGGTATTTAATGTGGAATAATAGAGAAAATTAAATCTCAATTACTATGTTTTTGTGCAGTTTCAGTTATAATGTTTACTGGGCTGAGAGGGTACATCAGTATGCTTTGACACAGCATTTGGAACCACTGGTTCCCTTCTGGGATTGACCATCTTTGCCTGATTCCTTTCACATCCTCCTCTGTACAAATCTTAATTATTTCAAGAAATAGCCACAACAGAGTAAGCTTAAACTGCTCAGATTTGTCACAGACATCTTGATTGGTATCCCTAAAAACAAAGGTTAGCTGTGTAGAAAAGTGGCTCGATTTAGTGGACTAAATTTAGTCTTAGTGCTGCATGCTGATCCTGAAACCGACGTGTTCGGTGTGTCAGCGTGCGGAGGAGAAAGAAAGGAACTGGACTAAGATGACTGAAATACAGCCATGCATGGTCGCATTTAAAAGAAAAGGAACGAAAAAAGGAGGAGCAGGACAGGTGTTTTCTAAGTGTGTTGCTTTTTAATTACAGAAATAATGGACGATTCCCATTTCAACTCATCATACTTTTGGTCTCCCGTCCCCACTGTACAAGGACAGGTAGACACAACCTTATTGTTGGAATTGTCTTGAATTACACATGGTATAGTGGTCTGTGCTGTTGGAAAAAATACCCAGAAGCACATCACAACCTGAACATGTTGTTTTTAACACCACTAAATAATGCTGGCAACGTTGATGAAGTTATTTGACTTATTGATGGGTTCACATGATCACTCCTGTCCCTCTCCTCTCTCATCTTTTCAATCTTCTGTTCCTGTTTTCATTTGCTTTTTTTGCATCTCACCATGCCTTCGTTTTCTCTTCTCTTCCATTGTTTCTTCCTCTTCCTCTGTCTGCTCTTATCTAACCCATTAACTCCTACCCTTCACTCTCCCCAATCTTCCCATTCCTTCCTCCTTTATTCTTCTTTAATTCCTTCTGTTTTTACTGTCGTTAACCTCTCATTTTCTGTCTCATTTGTTCTCCATTTTCCTTTCATGACACACACTACGTTTATCGCCACTCTGCTTGTGTCATCTCTGGGTCATCCTGTTTTTTTCCCGCATAAACATATGACTCTTCTTCACATCTTTCTCTTTCTTCCCGTCTTTTGTATTTTTATTTCTTTTTCAACTTCTTCCAAACACCCTCATCCTATTTCCTCTTTCAATTTGCCTTCTTCATCTCTGGCAAGTCTCCTTTCTCCTTCCCTTTCTTCCTTCCTTTCATATCCTTTTCCTTCCACCGTCATGAAACATTTCACCCTTACTGTATCACACTCCTTTGCCCCCTAATTCCTACACCCTTCCTTCTTTCCTCTCTCCACTCCCCACTTCTGTCTAGATTGAGAACGCCATGTTCCTGAACAAGGCGAAGGAGCAACTAGGTCCAGAGAAGGCCAGCGCGCCCTCCTTTCCTCACTCTTCTGCGTCTTCCACTTCCTCCCCCCACTACCCCACGGCCGTACTCGCCATCCCCAGCTCAGTGGATGGAGCGGCTGGGGTACGTGTGATCCCTAAACAGGAAGGAGGCGGAGGCAATGTAGGAGGGGGTGGTGGTGGAAACAGCGGACCCCTGAGTGCGGTGGGGGCACACCTGCACCAGTCGCACACTTCCCAGAACGTCACCGTTGTGCCTGTTCCCTCCACGGGTATCATGACTGCAGGTGAGTGAGCAGCTCTGATGTTTTCACCAACCTGAGTCGTAGATGATTTTTCAGTTTGTCTTTTTTCTTATTTTGCAAATTGTGAAAGAAAAATTCTCTGAAAA